GGGGGTATCAGTACCCTATAACATTTTTGCTCAAATTCGAATTTTAATGGACTTTTAATTATTTTTGAAACCTTCTAAAACTTTGAATAAATTCAATTAAGTCAAAAACATTTTGTAAATTTAATTCAAGTCCAAAACCATTTTGCCTTAAATTGTTATATCAAAACATAGATCAACATAAATGCACTCACCTGGTATGCCTCAATATTATGCCTTAATGTAGACTGACTATTCTGTAACTTTATCCTTGTCTTTTTTTTGCTTGTATCAGGAATTTGATTATGATCTTAGCAATGAAGTTACGGGGAAGAGAAGAAGAAGATGAGTAGAGAACCAAAGTTCCAGTCTTTTTCCTTTTTCCCTATTAATCACTTAATAAATATCTCTAAAAAATGAATATTAAATTTATTTCTTGCTAAAAGACCATAATGCCCTTTCATTCTTCTATCCTTAATAATAAGTCTTAAACACAATTTCCAAAATCAACCCTTGTACTTTTCAATTTATTCAAATTAAACCACTAACTTTTAAATCCTTACATTTTAGTCACTGACCTAATATTTGGGGTATTACAATTCTCCCCTTAAGAAAATTCATCCTCGAATTTTAAGACGTACCTGATCTGAAGAGATGTGGATACTACTTCCTCATATCCTCATCTCTTTCCCAATTAGCGTCCTCGACTTAATGATTTTGCCAAAGATTAAGACCATTTGATGAAGCGTGAGATATCTTTGTATTGATCGCTCTTCATTAGGATTGCATCATCACTTGCTCTAACATTACTAGTAGTATCTCCAACACTTATGGCATCATTGTATGTTGATCAGATGTGATCATTAATTGATGTGCCTCGATAGTACGATCATGGATAAAGACTGAAGAATAATAATTGTGAATGAGTGTGATCAACAATCTCAATGCTAAATGTAAACTGTGAAAATCCAGAATATATAATTGATGAATGTAATGTTATTAGTTGGATTGGTTGTAGTAATACTAGTAGATGAGCATTACTCATTAAAAATGGTCGAAATATCAAGCATATTGACTACGCCAATAATAGAGCGACATAAGTGCGAGCCTCTACTCGTTCAAAAATAGTCATCACAATGATTTTAAAAAATGACTCATTAAATATAAGAAACAACTCCAAACGCAATTCACATATCAAATCGCTTTATGACATTCCCTCAACCAGGAGAGAAGTGTTATACCTCCTTCAGATCTCTTCCTTAATCTGCACATCTGTTGCATCCTCTCCGCATATCAAAGCTTTCGGAAGAACTCCTCCGTTGATCGAATCCTCTACAGATACATATCTTTCGAACCATCGTAATTTGAAATGACCTTTGATACGCTCACATGATTTGTCATAGCTATATCCATTGTCAAGCAACCATATCCATAGTCCTACCAACCTACGAATAGCCATCGTGACCCTACACTTGACACCAATACAAGGTCACTATTAAACCCCTCATGCAAGATTGAGGGATAATCTTCCTCCTTTTCTTCTTGAGAGGGAGAGGAGACGTATTTTAAAGACTTGAACTGACCATTTGTCACAAAATCATCTATCAACAATCTCAATGCTAAATGTAAACTGAAAATCCAGAATATGTCTTTGATGAATGTAATGTTATTGGTTGGATTGATTGTAGTAATACTAGTTGATGAGCATTACTCGTTAACAATGGTCGGAATATTGCGCCTCTTGACTACGACAATCATAAAGCGACATATGTACGAGTCTCTACTAGTTCAAAAATAGTCATCACAATGATTTTAATAAATGACTCATTAAATAGAAGAAACGACTCCATAAGCAAGTTTCAGATCAAGTCTCGGATCAAGAAACTACCTTAGACTTAACACCAGCACAAGGTCATTATTAAACCCTTTATGCAAGATTGAGGGGTAATATTCTTTTTCTTCTCGAAAGGGAGAGGAGACGTATCTTAAAGACTTAAACCGACCATTTGTCCCAAAATCATCCAATAACACTCTTCACCTAAATCAAAAGAATTTAATCACTCAAATTATATCAACAAAGTTAATTCAAAATTTTCTCAATGAAATTATGGAAAATATATCTTATTTAAAAAAATTAATCCGATTAAGATTTGGAAAAAAAAGAAAAAAGAAAAGGAAATAGTATCGTATCCACTTTTGAGGCTGAATTTACTTGGCATAATGCAACAAAATAACCCTAACGTTTGACAGTAGTGTCAAATTTGTCCGTATTATTTTTTTGGAACATTTGACCATTGAACATTTAAATTTGGGTCAAAAATGCCCTTGATGGATAGAAATTGTCAGTCAATTGACGGTCAACGCCAAACGCTGACGGAGCAAGCACACATGGACGTGGAAGATGACGTGGCATGTTATTTCAGAGATTATGATGACGTTGTGCTACCACATCAGAATTTTTAAAAATAAAATAAATAATTTTATGATAAATATTATTTATATTTAATTATTTATAACCAATCAAAGAGTGACTGTTTAAAGCATTTATTAAAAGAGAAAACATAAGGTAGGAGAATCGAACCTGGGCAAAAGTTATGGAATAGTATAATTTTTGCCACCAGACAAAGTTACTTAATTAGTTAAATGATGAATTAAATTATATTTAATATATTTACACAAAATCACATTAAAAAACAGTGACTCGTGTTGTGCCACAACAAAATCCTCGAATTTATCGACTAATGCAGAGTCTGGTATTTCAGAGAACAGGGCCAGGATAAATGCAACAGCTGAAGGGCACAGTTCTGAGTCTTCCACAAGTAAGGAGAAAACTGATTCAACTCAGTATGAGACACAAGGTGGTGACGATGAATCCAGGGGAACAAATGAAACTCAGACACTCACACCTGTAATCAGACTGTGGATGGAGGTTACAATGAGCGCATCGATTCTTCTCGCAATACGCTTTCCCAAGAAGAGAAAGATGATGCTGTGGATCTGAGTAAAACATAGGATGCTTGGACAAAGTAAAACATATATATATATATAAATAAAAATTAATAAATTTCACTATATCACAAAGGGAGAAGAATATGATGCATGGTCACTCCGTATGTACAAAACTAAAAAAATCAGCTCAAAGAATGTTGTTAGTTATCTGCCAAAAGAACAAACCTAAAAGCGACAAAACCCCACAACATTAAACGACAAACTCCTGAGTTTGCTGCCTCAGCTATTTCCTTAGCTTTCGAAAGACAGACAGACAGGTGTCCATGCTTAGATCCATAGCTGCTGCCAATGCCACAAAAGCTGCTGCATCCTCCGTGCATGTCACGTGATGCACCCCTACTTCCACTTCCGTTCTACTGAACTTCCCTACTCCGTCCACCGTTTACGACATGATGAACCCCCGTCCGGAACGAATTCTGTGGGGAGATGGCTGCCCCGAACCCGAAGTCTGACCTTGATCCGGATCCCACTCTTGACTCGGAACGTGACATTGAAGTTCTCGACCCGAAGTCACCGCTGCTTTGTGGGGTTATTGATGGGGTTGCTATGTTGGTTGTCGTGTCCATGATGAATGTCCCTCCGTGTTTGGTGCTGATGGTGGAAGTGGCAATTGTGGTGGTTGCGTTTGTGGCGGCGATATCGTCGTGGAAGAGATCAAATTGGTATCCCAAAGCCACTGTTTTTTAACGTGATTTTGTGTGATGAGGGCGGTGAAATCTATTAAATATCATTTAGTTCATTATTTAATCAAATGAGTTTGGTATGGTGATAAAGGTTATGCTATTCCATTGCTTTTTCTCAGGTTGAATTATACTCCCTTGTGTTTCCCCTTTTAATAGATGCTTTAAAAATATAAATAATATTTATTTATATTAATTATAAATAATATTAATCATAAAATTATTTATTTTATTTTTAAAATTTTGATGTGGCAATGCCACGCCATCATGATCTCCGACATAGACATGCCACGTCAGTTTCCACGTTCATGTGTTCTAGCTCCGTCAGCATCTGGCATTGACCGTCAGTTGACCGACGGTTTCCATCCATGAAGGGTGATTTTTTACCTAAAGTTAAACGTTCAGTGGTCAAATGTTTCAAAATAAATACGGGTAAGTTTGACACTATTATCAAACGTTAAAGTTATTTTGTTGCATTATGCTAATTTACTTCCCCTCTTCGAAATCTTCCACAAATGGAAATCCCATATACACATATACAAAGGGCTTTATCCTGCAAAGAGACACCAATGTGCACATAAATAATAATTTTATGTTGTTTAGTTTACACACGAATTAGACGACTTTAATAATTAAGAAATTTATTATTATCTCTTGATATTTCAAATTTGATCACAATATATACAAAAATGCAAATGTTTATTATTAAATAGTTAAATTTTTAAACATATAATACATTATATTCACACAAATTTATCAAATATATATATATAGTTATTTTTGGCATAGTATAGTAATTTTACCCCTATAAAATTTATTTGGTTTTTTCTTTCTCCAATTGTCAGTTGATCCTGTTATTTCCCGCCTTCCGGTTAAATGTGACCTTTTTCTTCTATAATGTTTACATTTGTAATTTAGTCCATATCTTTAACCAAATTTGAATATAGTAGAGGGACTAATAGAACAATTTAACTTAAAACCTTGAACCAGTGTACCGCAATCTAAACTCTGTGCTATGGCTTTTCAGATTTTACTGCGTCACACCCAAATAATAATAATAATAATAATAATAATAAAACAAAAAATTAAAGTTGCTTGGTCGATGGTAATGTTCTTTCCCACCAAAGCTTTCACCTGTACTACTCTGCAACAAGAACTAATCTTCACCTCTTTGATTTCTTCTGTCCCACCCAATTTTTCATTTGATTTTCCTTTTCTGGGTTCATTCTCTTTACCGAATCCAAACAAGGTCTTCTTCACTTTCCTTTTTGTTAGATTCCCACGGAGGAAACACTACATGCAAAACAAACAAAAAGTTTCTAATTCATTGACAGAATGAAGGAGCCGAAGAAAGATTCGGATAAACTAGTGTGGGATCAGATTCAGATGAGGCGTCCATCGGGTAACAATCTTGTTCATGGTTCATCGTCTTCCACACCCATTCCTAAGTTAATGGTGTGGTTAATCCTTTTTGTTTCGGCTGTTTATGTTATCTACACTTTGAAGCTACTGGCGGCGTCAGCTAATGAAACCTACGATGAAATGCCTTTCACTTCGTCTCTAATTAGATCTTTAATAAATCCCAACAGTACGGCGGAGACGACGGCGTCGCTCCACCGACATTGGGGTGCCCGGGAGAAACAAATGGGTTTATTACAAATGCCCAAGGCTCCGCCGAGACCGACGGAGATTCACGACGTCGTGTTCGGGATCGCGGCTTCTTCCAAGCTATGGCAGCAGAGGAAAGAGTACATCAAGGTTTGGTACAAGCCGGAACGATGCGCGGCGTCGTTTGGCTAGACAATCGAGTGAAATACTCGGCCGAAGATGGTCGGGCCCTACCGCCGGTTCAATTCTCCAGCGACACCTCAAAATTCGCGTACGCGAACAAGCAGGGACACCGGTCGGCTATCCGGATCTCGCGGATCGTGACGGAGACGTTGAGGATGAAGATGGATAACGTGAGGTGGTTCGTGATGGGCGACGACGACACCGTTTTCATCACCGATAATCTCATTAGGATTTTGAGGAAATACGACCATACCCAGTATTATTACATCGGGAGCTTATCGGAATCTCATATCCAGAACAATTTTTTATCCTACAGCATGGCATACGGCGGCGGCTTCGCCATTAGCTACCATTGGCTAAGGCCTTGTCAAAAATGCAAGAGCAGTATATTCAAAGGTAGCCAGGGTTATACGGCTCCGATGATCGGAAACAAGCTTGCATGGCTGAACTCGGTGTCCCACTCACCAATGAACGCGGTTTCCACCAGGTAGGCGACTCCGTTTTGTCACATTTTTTTTGTTTGTGAAAGCGCATTTCTTTGTGTTTAGACTATTTTCTACTCTTTTTTGATTATTTAAATGTACATCTCCAATTATGATTTGGGGCAAGTTAATTGTGACTAAATGAATGGATGTTTTACCCAATTAGTTGGACGATACACTAAATAAGATCGGGGTTTAAATTCGTAATTTGTTCAAATTCTTACAATTGTGAATGGTCGCCCTGTACCGTAACGAGTCTCTGCAAAATTGAATTTGAAATTCCCAGTAAATGAATGGATGATTTACCAACAATTGTTTCATTTAGTTAGTGTAATCGGATGAGAAATTAAATAAGATCAAGGGTTTAAATCATTACTATTGTAAATTGAGCAAACTAAATTAGAACCGTCCCATAACGAGTCTCTATAAAACTGAATTAGGAGGTGTGGTCACTCTATCGGACTATCCCTGTATGTTTGTAAATGAGACTTCTCGATGTGCTTAATGTTATGCCTTTTGTACTTTTGAGATTTATGGAATTAATCTTTGATTATATATGTTTCTTGTTGGTTAATGGAAATCAGTACGTGTATGTGAACTTGTTCGGGCTCCTTTTTGCTCACCCGGTAACACCATTGGTATCACTGCACCACCTCGACGTTGTAGAGCCTATTTACCCCAACATGACCAGGACTCAAGCCCTTAAACACCTTTTGTTGCCTGCAAAGCTGGATTCAGCCGGGATCATGCAGCAGTCCATCTGCTACGACAAGAACAGGACGTGGACGATTTCGGTTTCATAGGGTTTTGCCATTCAAGTTTTTCGAGGGATCTCCACGGGAGATGAAATGCCGTTGAGAACGTTCTTGAATTGGTACAAAAGAGCGGATTTGTAACACCTATATTCCGTATACCTTTCCGTACACAAAATACATATATCACATCACTTTAAAAATGTTTACTCATTTGAAACCCCGTAAAATTTTGTTTCAATCTTAAATCCACCTGAGTTAACACAATAATTAAATATTCATTGAAAACACATTGTAAAATATTTTGTTAAGTTCAATTACATGTCAGATAAGTTTCAAAGTGATTACTATTGTCCTAATGTTGTTGACGAGTAACCTTAATTGATGATATTTGCTGCTACGACTGCACTTCTTACTTGATTAGTCTCTGCCTTTACCTACGTGTGGAAGCAACACACGTTAAGTATTTATTTAGTGAGACATAATATTGTAAAATAACCTTTATGTATACATAAGTATGTCATATTATTTAGTGTGCTATAAACCTCATCAGTTAAATTGTATTTCATTCACAATTATCATAATTATTTTTAGTATGCCTAGCATACCTATCTTTCTTTATAGTTTTCTTTTTCTCTTCGTTATTCTTTATTTTCATTGATAGCATCCATTCATGCTTATAATGCACCATTATGCATTTTCAATTATATCATCATTTCATGCCAATAATGCACCCATATCACTACAACAAAACTGTTCTGTAGCGGCGTTTTTTGATAAAACGCCACAAAAGTATTACATATAGCAGCGTTTTCAATCCAAACGCCACAAATTGAGACTTTAGCGGCATTTTTGGTGAAAACGCTGCAATAGAGTATAAATATAGCGGCGTTTTTGTGGAAAACGCCGCCATAAGATGGTATATAGTGGCGTTTTTCAAAAAACATCGCAATTAATAATAGTTTTTGCGTCGTTTTTAGACAAACGCCACAAAAGGTTAAACAATAGCGGCGTTTATAGTAAAAACGCCACAATAGAGTAGACATTTAGCGGCGTTTTAGCTAAAACGCCGCAATATAGTGTTAATGTAGTGGCGTTTATACCACAAACGCCATAATAGAGTGGTAAATTAGCGGCGTTTTTTGTATAAACGCCGCAAAAAACATGTGATATAGTGGCATTTTTTAAAAATGCCGCAAAATGTTAAATATATTGTCCTCCCTTTTCTCCCACCCAAACCCTAAAATCATTTCAACTCTTCTTCCCTCACAGTTTCTTCTTTGGTACAACAACGACCCTCACACGATTCCAAGCGACGTCGTCTTTTGTCTATCCCGGTGACCAAATTGGCCCTCTCACCGATGAACTATAACATAATTCCACGGTTTGATCCCTCTTATCACTAATGATCTTTTTCAATTTTATTTTGGTTGGTATTCTGAAAATGGGGAAAACCCAGAAAGCTAACATATTTGAGAAAAAAAGAGCAGGTCTTGCCTTGAGTATGAGAAATTATCGTCGGAATGTCTATGTGGAGTCTTTGCCCTGACGATGGATCAAATTATCGCTGGGAGCCTATCGGTCCGGTTTCGCCGTTGAAACTCGATGATGACTCGACAGGAACTCATATTGGTCCATACCCTTCCATGGCCGATCTCCTACTTGAAGGTAAAATTCTATGAATCTTTATGCCGCTATATTTCCCTTTTTGTACGGTCACTCAAATTTCATAGATCGTACGCATGTAGGATCTTCGAAGCTTATTGAGAATGATGATAGAGAAATGGATAAATACCCTATGTTTAGAACCGAATTTGATAACTCTGTGGCGTTGAAAGAATCTTCAATTGCAAAAGCAGTATCGATCCTCAATGAAGACGATGTTGCCTCTACTGTTACTCAAGTAAACATTTATATCATCTATTTAAATATATTTTAATGTTTGATTCAATTCCCAAGCACCTCCAATCAAGTTTTATACTGTAGATGGAGGGTCGTTATCTGTTTCAAGTCAAGCACTGAAGCGCGCAAGGAGTCTTCTTGGTGAACCGGAGGTAGGAGATTTATTTGGTGAAATGGATGAAGAGTTTCTCCATATAGAATTTACACGAGGGAAAAACTTAACGATGCGTCGTCAAACAAGGAAAACAACTTTCCTACGTCCTTTCCCCACGAAGGAGCAATGAAGACTAAATTGTACTGAACAATATGGTGAAGACTGTTTATGCATAAGTTCTTTAATGTTTCTAAATTATAATGTATTTTGTTGTTAAGTAGTTTTATGCATAAGTACTTATGTTTTAATTAAAATGTATGGTTGTAACTTTAGGTTATGTATAGAAGAAATGAAATATTTAAAATATGTTAATCTTATATAAATAAAGGTATTTAGTGGCGTTTGTATCCAAAAACACCGCTATATATTACACATTTTGCGGCGTTTTTAGATATAAACGCCGCTAATGAGTAGTACAATATCGGCGGTTTTTTACAAACGCCGCAATATGTGTATTATATAGTGGCATTTTTATAACAAACGCTGCAAAAATATTTGTATTTTAGTGACGTTTGTATGAAAACGCCGCTATAGACTTATACTTTAGTGGCGTTCGTATGAAAATGCCACTATAGACTCGTACTTTAGTGGCGTTTTTGTTAAAACGCTATAATAGTAATGTAATTTAGTGGCATTTTTAGTAATAAATGCCGCCATAGTCATGTACATTAGCGGCGTTTTTAATATAAACGCCGCGATTGTCCAATCCTTTAAGCCATCGAGTTCCAAATCCCTAATTGTTTCATTCACAATTTCCTAATTTTCCTAAACATTAGAGTTAAGTCACCCTGGGAAACCATCATCATAAGCGCAGCATTACGCCGCCGTCGCCAGTTTCCGGTCAGAAAAAGGTATGTATCTCTTCTCCTTCGCACTCTTATTTCGGCTTTTTTCTCCCTTGGCTTTCTGTGCTTTCGCCTTGCCTGTTTTGGGAGCAATTCGTGCACCAAAATTTACTTTCATATGTTTGTCCTTTAAGTCTCCAAAGCCTGAGGGTTTGATTAGTTTTAGGACATTATTTGATTCCCTTTGTTTGAAGTTGATGTGATTTTTGATCTTTTTGAATCATGGTGTTATAGTTTTAGTTTGACCATAACTTCATTTATCTTTGAGAAATTGGCTTTGTATAACTGCACAGAAGGTTCACTGTTTTGACTGAACAAGAAATGCAGAATATTATGTGATACATTGTGAAGCGAATATCAATTATTACTAGGATCTGAAAGTTCACTATTTTTAGCTTAGCATAATCCTGAATCCCTATTGTTATAATAAAATAATGAGACCTATTGTAATATTTGATTTCCAGAAATAACTCAACATTATTCTGCTTAGCTTCAGGGATTTTTTTCTTTTCCTTTCATCATTAATTTCCCTGTTCTTCTCATGATTTCCATCAATTCAAACCTGAGAATTGCTATGAATCTTAACCTCCTACTCCTGCATCACTCCAACAGGATCTCAAAAGAACATATAAATTATGTGTATTACCTCACTGGTTGGACAAAACTTTTCAGTGACTACAACACCATTGGGTCCACTACACTTAATAGTGTAACCGTCCCTTTTAATAGCCAATGTAACCGGGCCCCAGATATCAAGATATCCTGTCTGTAATATGCAAGAGTCAGAAAATACTCTCACGTTGTCAAGTTAAATAATAGCATGTACATATTATGCTAATAATGGAGTCATTATCAAACAATGAGCAATATAAACAACCACCCAAGTGTAGAAATCGTACCGAATATGAAACTTTGTATGAAGCATGACCATTATAAAGAGTCTTTTCTATACAGCCTAGCATCTCCGGATCTGTTAAAAGTAGAATAAAAAGAAAAAGGAAAAGCCAGGAAATGAATTTTCCATACCAAGTGTAAGAACATGAGTCAACAAGTTAACAAGGGACAACACAGATGCTAACAATTTTCAAATGATAAAATGCAAAGAAATAGTTCAAGCACAAAGCAACACAAACTTAATCCGGTCAGAAGAAGAGAGAATATAACCAAAACAGACTACGACTAAACAACATAAAAACTAAGGAGATCCCCTCCATTAAGTAGTCATTAAATTCCAAAACCTTAGCTATCATCATTTATATATATGGGATTCAATTATTAATAATGGATCCCCCATTCGCAAATGATGTTAGTGGTGTACTGGAAAGTATTGAACACAAAGGTAAAAGGGTGGGGGAGAGCCAAACCTGAATGGATATTGCTGTTGACCAATTGTCAATCTGACAAAGTTGACTATTGG